CTCCCTGCTAATCAGGAAGAAACCTCCAGCAGAACCAGGTTCAGGACAGGAGACCATCTGCCTCGACTGGCTGGTTGAGGGACAGGAAAGAGACATAGACAAACAGAAGAACTGGTCCAGGACTGGTCCAGGTGCACATACTTCTGGAAGACAAAGAAAAAACATGATAGAAATAATTACAATAAACATGTAGAGAAGAGAGACTAAAGACAACAGCAGAGTGAAGAAATGTGCTCAGTTTGTGCTCCAGCAGTCTATAGCAGCAGAAATGAAGAATAATTCAGGAAACCTAAGTCTAACTACATGATTTATCAAAAAGGAAAGTCTTCAGTCTAATCTTAAAAGTAGACAGAGTGTCAGCCTCACGGACAGAAACTGGAAGTTGGTTCCACAAGAGAGGAGCTTGATAACTGAAAGCTCTGAAAGAAAAAAAACAGAAAAACACAATCACATAACTGTCAAATAACAGTTGATTAAAACAAGGATTTGCATAAAACAAACATTGGAACAATATTTTTGTGTGTTTTTCTTTAATTATAATACAAGAAGATTGTTATTCTTTTCATTATGTAACTTTGATTTATAAAATAACTTTTAGTTAAAAGAGAATATAAATCAAAAATATAAAGAACATTGTTATTTTGATTATCTTGATTAAAGAAAATAAAATATGTCTCTTGAGTGAGGTCTTCTGAGACCAAGTTCAAAGACAGGTGGAAATGTTTATTCCCTGTCAGGGTGACCCCTACAGAAGCTACTTTCCAACATGTTGACACCTTTTTTCCTCAGGCTACCAAAGACGCAGGTCAGATTGCCGGTTTGAATGTCCTGCGTGTGATCAATGAGCCGACTGCTGCTGCTCTGGCCTATGGCTTGGATAAAACTCAGGACAAGATGTGAGTAGAAAGGAGAAACGACTGTTAAATGTTCAGCTAAGTACGAACAGTGCTTCTCAGGACTTAAAGCAACATGCTCTGTGTGTTTTCAGTATTGCCGTGTATGATCTGGGTGGAGGTACGTTTGATATCTCCGTACTGGAGATTCAGAAGGGAGTTTTTGAGGTGAAGTCGACAAATGGTGACACTTTCCTGGGAGGAGAGGACTTTGATCAGCACCTCCTCAAACACATAGTGAAAGAGTTCAAGAGAGAGGTGTGCAGTGCACTCACCTTCCTCATTTTACTACTTGTTTTCTTTCTTGTGAAGGTTTTGTTTATGCTCTTGTGTTTTATCTTTGTAGTCTGGGGTGGACCTCATGAAAGACAACATGGCTCTTCAGAGAGTTCGAGAGGCTGCAGAAAAGGCAAAGTGTGAACTGTCATCTTCACTGCAGGTAAAGACCATGAGACATTAGGAAAACAATCAGAATCTCAGATTTTCATGTAACTGTCCAGACAGCTTGTGCCTGGCTCTGTAACTGTGTTTGTAGGTAAAAGGTTTTTACTTGGCTTGAATTGTTTACGTCTCTGACAACAGGCCAAGTCACGTGATCCTCTGAAATTATAACGTGTAATATCTAATAAATTATAGCAGCACAAACCTGCTCAAACGAAGCTCCACAAAATTCAACTAGTTTGGTTCATTTTTGAGTGAGCGGGTGGGATGGTGACCCCTGAATGACCCTTACAAATAATCTTTAATAATAAAAAAACATAGCAGCTCAAACGAAGCACTAACCACTCTGACTATTTGCCTTTTTTCCTGTAGTTCATTTTTTGGGAGGGGTTGGTTTCACTCAGCTGTGATTGCATCATCGTCAGCTGTTTGTGCTTCAAAGCTGTGTGTGGGAGGAGGGAGACAGGCTTTTGTTTGTTTGTTTTTTTCAACCGGGGGGTTACATAATTTGAAATAACTAAAGGCTTCATGAAACGTAATTAATTTTTATTTGCTGTGTCTGCCAGAGAAAAATGTTTGAGTTGTACTAGGGGCTGAGTGATTACTCTGATTTTGATCTTGATTACAATTTGGGTTGTCAGCGATCATAAAAGCATGATGATCGATCAGTTTTGGGTTGGGCCGTATAATTTCCGTGATGCGAAAAACGCGGACAGAATCCAGTGTAAAACGCAGAATCTCACAGAGTTCACTTAATTTGTGTGAGTTTCTGAGGTATTTTGACCGCTGCTGCTCCCTTTACCTGCCCTTACCTGGTAACAGGCACGCATAGTGAGCTCTCTGAGCTCCCCTCCTGACACAATTTCAATCAAAAAAATCGTGATTATAATTTTTGCAATAAGTGAGCAGCCCTACTCTGAATAAACCAGAAAACAACTATTCTGTAAGAGCTGTTCACGTCTGTTAGGTTAAAAATTTTAATCTTCTAGTTACATAAAATAAGCAAAATACTAGTTGTAACGGCACATGTTATATCCTACATATTTTATATATGAATGAATTTGATCCAGTATAATTAATATAATGATAAAACAAACAAAATATAACAATTATTTTAAAATGAATGCATACAGACATGTGTCGGTCGACCTACAGTGGTTGATACGTGATGCCCCTGCTGTGTTAATGTAGTAGCACAAAGACAAACTCTCATTGGATTTGTTTGTTCATCCTCTTTCAGACTGACATCAATCTCCCCTATCTAACCATGGACGCCTCCGGTCCAAAACATCTCAACATGAAACTGACTCGTGCTCAGTTCGAGGGGATTGTGGCCGACCTGATCCGTCGTACCGTGGCGCCCTGTCAGAAGGCCATGCAGGATGCTGAGGTGTCCAAAGGAGACATTGGTGAGGTGCTGCTGGTAGGAGGCATGACCCGAATGCCCAAGGTAAGCATCTGCATGCAGAATGACTTACATTTGATATCTGAAAAATTTTTGTGAACTTGTACTGGACAAATGGAGACGAGTCTAAATCAGGGGTCCTTAACGTTTTTGACCTCAGGGCCCAGTTTATTGAACATAAAGTGACACGAGGCCCAGTCAGACATTACCAATGTATGGATCAAAATGATAATTATTCTAAATCTTTGTTTAATTTTTATTGTATTTACATCATAACTAAACTATCATAACTAAATTAAATACACTTACATTTTAAAAGTAAAACTCCTGTCAAATAATCACAAGACATGATTTTGACAAACATTTTTATATTGTAACCTGCCCATAACAATTATTTGAACAAATACAAAGGTCAGTCAACAGACCACTCAGGCTTATCAACACAAAAATATATATATATTTTTAGCATAAACAATAACAAAATAGACAATTCAAAAAATAAAATTGTGGGCATAAAATAAATACATTCTTTAATATATATGTTTCAAATAAAAAAATGTCAAAATAAATTTGATAAAGTACAAATGAAAATAAAGAATTTTTAAACTTTTGCAACCAGAAGCTGCTCTTCATATTAGTGACAAACAATAACAGTAACAACCGGGGATCAAACCCACGGCCTTCTTGCTGTGAGGCGTCGGTTCTGCCTCTTAACACATTATTTTTCATACAAATATTTTCAAACAGCACTCCCAAAGTATTCATAAACACATCACAGCTATGTTTACATCATCTACATCCTTCCAGTTTTTTTTTAAATCATCTTACAGTCTGTCCAAATCTCTTTTTTATGTGTTTTATCATTTTCTTATTTACTGTAGCTGCTGCCTCACTGCATTCATATTTTTTATAAAATGTAAAAACTGGTAGATGATCACTTATATCAGTCTTGAAAATACCACTCAACACCTCCATTTCTTACGTTGGTAAAAGTATCAATCACTGTTGCACTTTGTGCTGTGATTCTTAAAGGATAAAGACTCGAGCTACACATCGAGTTTATAAAAGTATATACATTGAGTTTATAAAAGTATATACATCGAGTTTATAAAAGTATATACATCGAGTTTATAAAAGTATATACATCGAGTTTATAAAAGTATATACATCGAGNGAGTTTATAAAAGTATATACATCGAGTTTATAAAAGTATATACATCGAGTTTATAAAAGTATATACATCGAGTTTATAAAAGTATATACATCGAGTTTATAAAAGTACTGTTTATATCGTACACTTCTTCCTTTAGTATGAAGTTGTTTCAGACATCTTATTTGTCCCCTCCTGAACTCATCTAAATCCTTCAGCTCTTATTTTTAGCCTGATGCTCTTCTTTTACTCTGATAAAAACTTTTCCATTTTGTGTCAAATTTGCTATTTTTTTTAAACAACTTGAACAATTTTCAGTGTTTTTAAGTTTAGTAATTAACAAATCTGTTCTTGTATATCGCTTCAGATCATCCAGCCTTTGTTCGAGTTCAGCCATCTTTTTTCCTCTATCCTAACTTATAACGTTCAACTGCTTCACTTCTTGAATCAACCCAGTCAAAGTTCATGCTGTGTTGTCAGCTGTGCCTGAATAAAGCGTTTTCTTAAAGACACGTTACTCTCTGCAGGTCCAGCAGACAGTCCAGGACCTATTTGGACGAGCTCCCAGCAAGTCTGTTAATCCTGATGAGGCTGTTGCCATAGGAGCAGCCATCCAGGGTGGCGTTCTCGCTGGTGATGTCACTGACGTGCTGCTTTTAGATGTCACTCCACTTTCTCTGGGGATTGAAACTCTGGGGGGTGTCTTCACAAAACTCATCAACAGGAACACCACCATCCCCACCAAGAAGAGCCAGGTATGTTCAGCTGCACCTCAGCTCTGTTTCTGATGGGTGCGAGCAGGAAGGGACCACGTAATCACTGTTCATCTTCTGCAGGTGTTCTCCACAGCAGCTGATGGACAGACACAAGTGGAGATCAAGGTGTGTCAGGGGGAGAGAGAGATGGCATCAGACAACAAGTTGCTGGGTCAGTTCACACTGGTGGGAATCCCCCCTGCTCCTCGTGGAGTACCTCAGATAGAGGTCACCTTTGATATCGACGCCAACGGCATTGTCCACGTGTCAGCCAAAGACAAGGGCACAGGTCGCGAGCAGCAAAGTAAGTGTCAGCAGTCAAGTCAACATCCATTACTAATTTATATTTATTTTTTCTCCTCACATTTCAACATGGCTGTAAAGTTGAGCCTCTTCTTAAACCTCTTTGCATTCCTTCAACAAGCACTTAAGATGATCTACCATTAAGGAACAAGCAAAAACTTCATGCTTGTAAAATGCCTAAAAGTCTTATTTCAGTTATAACAAACAGACAAACAGTGCTAAAATCTGAGGGGCTTTTCACAAAGGTCTCAAATGACTGAGACTTGGTAAAAAGTTACATTTGTGCTTGTCTCTCTCTCTCAGTTGCGATCCAGTCATCAGGAGGCCTGAGCAAAGATGATATTGAGAACATGATCAAGAATGCTGAAAAGTATGCGGAGGAGGACAGGAGGAGAAAAGTACGACTGGTTATATTGAATGCTGTACCCCAGTAGATTCAACAAGTTTATCCCCCATCTGGTTTATTTCTGTTGACAACAGAATAACACCTGGAGCTCTTTTCTTTTTGTTGTAGGAAATGGTGCAGGCTGTCAACGATGCTGAGAACATAATCCATGACACAGAGTCAAAGGTAGAGGAGTTCAAGGACCAGCTTCCTGCTGATGAGGTACAACTGCATTAACTATAAAGTTTGAGTATTTAAAGACACGATAAAAGATGCAAAGAAACATGTACCTTATAAGATTATTGCATCAAAAAGATTTCCTGTGGTTGAATTGTAGTAAAAAGTAATTTTCTTAGATTTTAAACAAATCAAAATGGAAGTGAAACCAAAAATTCCAGGCTGGGCATATAAAACTGTTGCCTGCATCTTGTTAATGTTGAATCATTTTGTGCCCTGATGGTTGCTCCCATATTTATGATTTCATCTACTGCTGTTCACTTTTAAAAATGTAGAGGCAAACTGGGACAAGTTTCTTTATTTTTTAAATTGATGTGATATTTAGACATGAATGTTTGGAGGTGTAGCCCCGCATGTTTTCTGCCATAAAGATGTTCTGTAGTTTATAGCTTTGCAGACGTACAGGAATTTTATTAAAGATTCAAAGTCACCTGTTTAGGGCTGCAACGATTTATCCATTAATTGACGACTAATCGATTATTAAAATGGTCGATGACTAATGTAGGGGTCACCTCGAGTGAAGAAATAAGATTTACTGCCGCGGACAGGCCTGACGAGAGGACAGGAACTCTGTCACAAACTGAACTCTATTTAGGCCATGACAGGTCATTCTAACCGTGGAAGAGAACCCCTCAGTTCTCTTAATCAGATAATGGACAGAACTATCTCTTCTGTTCGTGATTCATTTGTTATTTTAATAATCTATTTTTTTTTCTTTTTTTTTTTTTGTTCTTTACTTTGTTTTTATCTCCAAACTGCTTTGACACCTTCCACTGCCACATCTGCCTTTCTGTCGTTGACACACATGCACAGTAGTGGTAACTGGGGTAGGCCGTGGACGTCACAAGACATTATACAGACAGGCTCTGGTATCATGGCTACCTGACAACAGAGCTCAAAGTGTGGGATCATTTTAAGAAAATGAAAGAGAAACCTGTGTAATATCTGCAGAGCAGAACTTACCTTCCACAGCAGTTATTTTTAGTTAGCATATAGCTAAACTCTAACCATGGTTATATAATAACAGCTGCATTCTGACGCAATAAGCTCTATGTTTTATATTCAATTAACGTTTGATCTGATTAGTCGACTAATTGAAAAAAATAATCAGATTAATCGATTATAAAAATAATCTTTTGTGGCAGCCCTTGGGTCAAACAATGTTTTAGTCAAACAGAACCAACAAGAATGAAACAAAAAGTAAAGAATTAGAGAAAAAATGTTAAATGTAAATAAATTCTCATTATAATAAATTAATAATAGTTTTACATCTAAAAATCATGTTTTATTATTTTAATCTGTTTTCCTCATTCAGCAACCTATTAAATTTCTATGTTTCATGTAGGACAAATACACATTTTTTTCAGTCAGTATTTAATACAGCTGGTAAAATAAATAGTTAAAATATGTATTATGTGCTTCAGTTTTTTAATGCAGGAGATTATAAAAAAATCCTTCATTTTATGGGAAGACCCTCTTGATTCAAGAGAAAACTCCGTTTTTTTAAGAAAATGGCTGCTTATTAATTAATTGTTAATCAACAAGATAAATTAACTTCAGATTAATTCATTATCAATAACTTGCATCCTTAAGGAGTTAACTCAATTTATATCTACTCATATTCATGTAATTAAGCATTTTAATGATTTGGCCGATTAATCGAAAAAATAATCAGCATATTAATCGATTATTAAAATAATCATTGGTTGCAGCCCTACACTTGTTTGACTCACAAAAAACAGATAAATTCCTGTAAGCATTTTGTTTTCACAAATTAGTTCAGCAGCCACAGCTTAGTGAGCTCAACTATTGTCAAATGATTCAAAGATGGTAAATTTGCCTAATCCCAGTATAGTTCATACATTCTTACCAAACCGTATGTGCAGGAAAAATAATTTGTGTTGCATGTTTTGTACCTTGGGTGGTTTTCTTCATTAACGTTTCCCTTTTTTTTTTTTCTTTCCTTGTTTCAGTGCACCAAGCTGAAGGAGGAGATCTCAAAGGTTCGGGAACTTTTGGCAAACAAGGATTCAGAACCTGCTGAAAAGATCAAACAGGCAGCCAGCAGCCTGCAGCAGTCATCGTTGAAACTTTTTGACATGGCCTATAAGAAGGTAGGAAGCGTGGTTAGAAGCTGTGTGGAAATGCATGCAAATCTGACACACACTGACTTCCTCCATGTTCCTGCAGATGGCAGCAGAGCGCGACAGCAGCAGCAGCAGCAGCAGTAGCAACAGTTCATCAGAAGGAGAGAAGAAAGAAGGCCAGCAGTAGACCTGATTGTCATGAAGTCTGTGACAAAGACTTGTGATCTAAAAAGGCCGTCTACATGGAGAGGGTGGCAGTTGTGTCGGTGGTATAATCTACTGTGTTTTGGCAGTAAAATTCTGTGTAGAAAAGATACATCATGCTTCTGTTAGACAATATTTTGTCTTTAATTTAACTATCTTTACACAATGTTCTATTATTTTTACAAAGTCTGTTCAGTATGGGTGTATTTTTCCCTCCAAGAGTTGTTCCCTCAGCACCACTGATCTTTTAAGGCACATCAGCTGGTTCATCACCCTTCCTTCAGTCTGCTGTAAAATATTGCCCAGTGTCTGAGTGTTGCTTCATCTGAGCTGGAGAGATGATAACCTATATTTGAATAAAATAGTTTTTTTTTTTTTAGGTCCACATATCTTTACTGTCAATGAAGAAACTTGTAATTTTCTCCCACCTCTCAGCCACAACATTGGAGTTAACAAGATGAGATTGTTCCTTAGTTGCAAAGATATGCAATAAATGTCTTTAGTAGTGTCCACATGGGGTGAACACCCCCCCCCCCCCCCCCAAACAAAAAAAAAAGCAAAAGTGTGTTCATAACTACAGACTCCGCGAGGGAACATGGGGGGTATTTTTTTCTTTTGCATTCCCTCGCAATACTTTTGCGTTCTCACAATATTGTTTTGCATTCCCATGCAAAAGTTTGTTTTGTATATGTACTGCATTAAATCAGACTTTTATTTTGAAATATCCAGTTACCAAAACAGGATGTGTCGCCACAAGTTTGTGAAATTGATGTTGTGTGGCTGCACTGTGTTAAAATATCAACATATGACATACTTCCATGCGTGGCTGTGTGATATATTCATTCTGAAGCTGAATTAAAGCAGTGGGCTAACTCACTAATGGTGAACATGTGAGTTTGTTAATAAACTAGCAGGCACAACAGTGTTTAACGACTTTTGCGAGGGAACGCATAAAGAAAAAAAATCCCCCATGTCCCCACGCGGGCTCAGTACACAACTTGCCTCTTGTGTGGCTCGCTTCAACTTCATCAAAGCTGAAGTACTTACAAGTTTTGTCTCAATGCAGGAGTACTGTGTGTGTGTGTGTGTCCTGTATTTTGTGTGCCCTTCAGACCATCTACAAGCTTTGTGTTTGTCCACATGATTTTAAGACAAAGTAACAGATTCTGACCTTTGGCAAAGCAAACAGAAATCTGAAAATATTTTCAATCTATTGTAATCTTCACCACTAGACTACATTATTATATAGACTTATTGCTCAGTTCAGGAAGAGTTGGAGCATTGTAAGGTTAGAAACATAAACCTGGACGTCTTTTTCATTTGAATAAAATGTCACAAAGTTTCTGTATTGATAACTTGTTGGTACTTAAAATGAGTCGTGCTGGTCTAATGAAGAGTCAATTATGTCTTTTCTTGGTGGAGGATGGAATTGTGAACATTTAGGGCCAAAACTGTTGCAGTCTTTTCTAATAAAATCTGAAACATTGATTGGTTCTGTAAGTGTTTAAATTGTGAACTTTTAATGTCTGTCTTTGTTTATCACACTCCAACAAAAAAGCAGATTAAAAATGTCTGCCTGTTTGTTGACTGGTTGAAAAGTGGAAAGAATTCACATTTTGCATTAAGATGATTACTTAGAACCATAAGAACGTTCTAAGTAGAGTAGGGCTGCCTCGATTAATCGTAACTAATCGATTATTAAAATAATTGATGACTAATATAATAATTTATCTTTTTTTTTTTTCTTTGTTTTTCTCCAAACTGCTTTGACACCTACTGCCACATCTGCCTTTCTGTCGTTGACACACATGCACAGTAGTGGTAACTGGGGTAGGCCGTGGACGTCACAAGACATTATACAGACAGGCTCTGGTATCATGGCTACCTGACAACAGAGCTCAAAGTGTGGGATCATTTTAAGAAAATGAAAGAGAAACCTGTGTAATATCTGCAGAGCAGAACTTACCTTCCACAGCTATTATTTTTAGTTAGCATATAGCTAAACTCTAACCATGGTTATATAATAGCAGCTGCATTGTGATGTGATAAGCTCTATGTTTTATATTCTATTAACGTATGATCTGATTAGTCGACTAATTGAAAAAAATAATCATTTGTGGCAGCTCTAAAGTAGAGCTTCAAAATGCAAAAAGAAGAAAAGGGAGTGAGTGAAAAATAAAATCATCTGAGAAAGCATTGTATTGCAATATTAAACTGAATTAGGCTGATCAAAAGTTTAGGAGCACAGCATTTAAAAGCCCAAATGTCAAATTTACTCATTTAGCACATTAAAACAAAAGCCTGACCAAAGTGCTTTACAGTCCAGTCAAGACTTGGATAAAAAATAAAACTAAATGCAGGAATACTATGATAAAGAAAGCACCAGCTGAACCTCAAACTCAGTCTTAATCAAAAGGAAAGTAATGAGTTGGGTCTTCAGCAAAGATTTAAATCACCAACGGTCAGCAGGCCGAACATTAAGACATAGACTTTTCCACAGCTTTAGAGCAGCAAATGCAAAGAGTCTGATCACCTCTGGATTTTATTTTTGATCTAGGAACATTAAAAAAAAAAAAAAATGGTAGATCCATCTAACTGGAGTGTAGATGTTAGTTTTTCTCAGTTATAACACAAAACCCTGTTGTCTGAACCCATTTATTAAAATGGCCTGCACCCTGTTATCAGAACTCTCAGCATGTTTCACCCAGTTAGACACAACATGCAGATCTATTTTCACCACTAAAACACGTTTTTCTCTTTGATTCACATGGGTTCCAAAATAATTAGCACAAGTGAGACACAAATAAAGCACTGCTGTCTGAACTGAAACACAACAACTCAAAATAGATCACACTTGTTTCTAATGATGTGAACAAACCAGTACAAACCAGTACAAGGAGCCCTGGGGCCTCATGGATGAACGGTGCGTACGCACAAAACAGTTGTGTGCCAGGTTGTGCACCCACATTGGGATGTTTTTAAATGTCACCTGCCGTGAGAATGTGCAGCAGCCACACAAAGTTATTCAGTCGACAGTTTTAACTCACAAAGTCATGAATCTGACCTGAATCCACAGAAATATGACTTTGTTGTGTTTTCTAGATGTAAGGAGCGTCTGAACACGCTGTTAGATTTTTATTTTAGTTTGAGTTTTTATTGTTTAAACTGAACGATCATGAAACTGAAAATCATTTAACCTCAGACAAAGAAATAGATCAGCCTAAAAATGATCAAAGAACCTCAGTCCAGTCTGTAAACTGTAAAGTTTTTACATTGTTGTCATGCAGTTGGAAACACAGGCTGAGCTCAGGCCTGCAGAGTGCGCACACAGCTGAGGGAAATATAATGTGTGAATTGTCTAAGAAACATTTTAATTCAAACTGAGAAAAAAACATTGTCAACCTGTGATGATTCCTCAGCTCCACAAGATGCAGACAATAGATTTGTTGCTGCGTAAAGTTGTGCGTAATTTGTGGAACATTGTCAACTGTTCTGCAGGGTGATATCACCACAAGAAGAAATGAGGACAGTGTGTTTGTTTGTTTGTTTGTTTGTTTGTATCACACCAAACAAATTACAGTCAGGTATTTGACTGTAGTTCAGAGTCGAGCCAAACTCACAGTTCCTCTGTGTTTACTGACGTTTATTAAAGACGTGTAAAGGTGGAAATGTCTCAGCCTCGTGCACCGCTGAAGACAGCAGCTTCACACACACGCGTACACACCAACACCCACACACCTTTGCGAGTGGCAAAGTCATTTTTACGCCCCACTACTTATTTAGACAGTTTTCTCACTCATTCTCCATTTAATGTATAATTTTCCTGCATCTAAAAATCATTTCTGATCCCACAGAGAGGACAATCTGAGGAGAGCCTCACACGCTGGATACATTTACATCTATTTTACATGTTGAAATGGAGGCGTGTCAGGGGAGGTGTCTCATGTGCGCTAAGTTCCACTTTCATTGGGATGTGTAAAGGAAAGGTGCGCAGGAACCTGCATGCACAGGGTTTTATACATCTGAATTTTTTTGGTGCGGCGCTCTTTTCTAAATTTGTCCGTATGTCAACTTTTAGTGTGAAAGCTGCACAATCCTTTATGCATGAGGCCCCTGATGCT